TACGTTCTAAGGTAAAAGTGACGGAGATTTGCATATCAGTGGATCACTCCAGGAAGCAAACCGCGGGAATTAAAACCACTCCAAATAAGAGGCTTTGTAATTAGGGCGGGTGAAGATTTCGGGCAGTAATTTAGTCGTTGTATCTCGGTTCCTTAGCAACGCCCCCTCCACGGCCATTTTGTGCTGTATTTTGTCTCCACTCCCGCCATCGCGGTTTATATGGATCTTGAATTTATAATCGCAACCTCTCCAGTCTCCACCTCGCCGTCCAAACAGACTCAACTTACAAGTCTATAGTCTCAACAAATTCCAAAATAAGTCAAAAATCTGTAAAGTCTATCTAGACTCGTCACAGACAACAGAAACCATTAAAAGTATTGTATTATCGAAAACATTAAAGTATTAAATTGTCTGTGCTATAGTCCTTGCCGTACAGAACGGGGTTTTATGGGGAATAATTGGTTTTTCTAATTTTTGACTCTCAAATCATAAAATATCCCAATTTCTCTCTAGACCTTCTTTAAGAGCTTAAAAAACTAATAATTCAGTATATTAAAGTGTTTTTGTACGGCTATTGGTTACAGAGAAAACTCAAAAAATTGTAATATTAAAATTTCCATGTTATTCTTATAGGGAATATTGTAAAATATTGTAGTTTGCTTGTTTATGGATATATTTTGATCAGACTTGGCAAATTTATAGATTTTATACTAAGCTATAATTATTTTACTTAAAATTTACTTTATTAGTTTTCTTGTAGCAGTAAAAAACCTAGGTACCCGTTAAACCTAATGTTATTTAAATAGAGTAATTGAAAAATCATTTCAGGCAAATGGAAATTCGCTTAGTCGGCAGGTTACTGCGGCGGGGGTATTTTAAATGATAAACTGAAGAGTTCAGAATATATACTTCTTAACTACAAATTGTACAAACTATAAACATTAAAACTGGACAGTTAGGGTATAATAATCTTAACTTTTGAGACTACTGAGTTAAAAGTAAAGAATGTACTATAACCCTTCAATTTTCAACTGCTCTGAACCATAAGAAAAGTTTTACGATTTGACTTTATCTGCTACTTTGTATTAATTTCAACATGGAATAATTCAATTTAAAAGTTTGAAAATATTATTGATAATTAATCAGCTTATACGATGTGTGACAAGTTGTTACCTTAAGCTCGGTTACTTTTCTAGAAAGGTTTCCTTAAGACAGGCTTCTCCATTAACAAGCTAGCTGTTTACTCAAGGACTTAACAAAGTATTGAAAACGTTTACAACACAACCCTTCCTGTTAACAACCCTTCTTAAAGGATTTACAGGGAAAAGGTTTTTGATCATGAATTTAACAGCATTAATAATATAACTAATTTAAACATAAGTTACTCCAAGTTTCATGTAATTTAGACAACAGATTATTATTTAATGTTCAAAATTTAGGGAGCCTCCCTGTAGGGTGCCCTTGGTCAAATAAATTGTTTTGGCCAAAACTTCACAAACCACATTTAAAAGTACACAAAGATTACATCCCAAGTTTCTTGGCCACCCTCGGGAATCGTACACTTTGGCTTGTTTAAATAATTGGATTAGACAAAAATTGAGCCATAATGTACTTTGTCCTAGGGACTCAATAAACTAGTAGGGGGGAGGTACTAGTAAGTACCTCATACGACAAAATGAGTTGACAATTAGTAGTAGGTGTCTTAATTTGTCATTTTGTGGCAATAGCTTTAACTATGTGTGATGTGAGTTCCAGGAGGTGGAATTGTAGAATTGTATTTTAAAAAAAGCTATGCTTAACCCTAGAACCAGCCACACTCAAATTTCTTTCCCGAAATGCTCAGGAGCTGTTTAAATCTCCAGGGGTCGATACAAAAGATGGACCAGTGGACCACGTTTTAACTATCTTTAAGCTCACGGTTTGCATGCGCTACGGGCCCGAGAGATGATAGCGTCTCCCTCCACCTACTTTGTGGGGAATTTTTCTCGTCCTTGCGTCCCCAACAAATCTAAACCCTCTTGCGCCCCTGGGCCCGGGCCCATTTATAAAAACGGCCCTGTTTATTTTTATTGAAGGTTCAGAGCTCTAGAAGCGCACAGGAAATACTGTAGATGCTCAGGTGGAGCTATATCATCCTCACCTTCGTGGAGAATTTTGTCCAAATTTTAAGAGAATTTTGCCCAATTTTTAGGATGACTCCGTAGGTCTGACAAGTATTCTATCCTGGCCGATTCAATAAACTACTGATGTTTATGTTTGATCCTGAGCTTAAACTATGGCTAATACCATAGATAAAACATACTCCCTTAGTAGATTTCTCATCCTTATGGAACAGCTGAAGACAATTTTATTGGTAGTTCTGTACGGTTTATGTAGAGGTCGTGTTTTGTTTACAATTTGTTTCCCGTTATTACAGCCATTTAAAACCTCGTTTAACCAAATAATACAATCTAATCATAAACAATAACTTGTCCCCTAGTTATATAACCAAACAGTAAAGCACAAATCAAGAAATTAACCCTAAAATAATAGAAACAAAGTTTCGTCGACACTAGCGCCTTTGTGACACGTACATGAACTAGACATGAAAAACGTGCTTCAAAATTTACAATGGGATGAGAAGTCTACTTGTGTTGGTTAGTCTATGCTAATACTTAGACCCAGGTGTAGAGGCTACTGTGAATGTGAATGGGTAAGTATTGGTGTTTAATTGTTAGCTCATGGTACATTTTTACCCCCTTATAGTTTGGTACCTCAAATATGGTGTGATGTCAAAATCCAGTTATAGCAAGAAAATTAACATAGTTCCATTGAGTCCCAAAGAGTGTTGCTGAAATATTACTTTTTAGTTTATATAAGATACACAAATATTTTGGTAAAGCCACACAAAAAGTATACATGTAAACAAAATACATTTAATCCATTCTATATATGTATTTTATAAGGAAAAATATAATTTTAATAGTATCACACTATTTGAAAGACTTTTCATTTAAGATGTTTCACTTTCACTAGCTACAAGTGCAGCACATATATAGGTTTTCTGTTCCTGTATACTAACTTCAATAGTGACCTTAAAAATAAGATTTGAAAAGCAAAAAGATGATTATAAGTAACTTAATAGACATTTTTTACCCATCTAGATATGGATTGCTTCAGATTTAGCAACTGCTAAATCCTTTCTTTTTGGAAATACTTGCACTAATTGGAAGTACCTTAAAACACATTTTTACTCAAACAAACAACGATGTGTTTACTCAAATGCCACCAACTCGACCATATAATTTTGAAAATATTTACAAATCAAGGTATCTTAGATAGTTGGGTAGAGTTGCCAAAGTTTCTGTGACAAACTGGACAAGTTTCCAAGTCAATTAATCATCAAGGGAGGGAGTGGAGGCAGTAATTACTCATAACTCAATTAAACTTATAACCCTCGGGAGAAACTCTCACAACAACTAATCCTTCTATTTGCATAAAACATTCTCTAGAACTTGAGTAGAGCCAATCTTCGACTCCCAAGCAATAAAGAGACAGAGTTAAGTATACTAATTAGAATTTGTGTTTTCACTTTTTTAAATTACTCCCAATCACATAGTGTTTTAAGATAAGATTTTTAAGTTACTGTCATAACGATTTATTTTTCCAATTGAGATGAGGCACCAGGTAGTTTTCGACCCATACATCCCATACATATATGAAGAACCAATGTAGAATGTGATTATATACAAGCTAAAAGCATATCCGTTTAAATTTATCAGTTGAACAGATACGATGACGTTTTTCATCTTGTACTATTTTACTCAAATTTTAGAACTATTGACCATATCTTCTTTACTGACTTTACACTGAAAATACAAACTTTCTTTTAAACCCTACTTAATGAGTTAAACAAATTAAATGTTTTAGGGTCTATGTACATTTTGTATGGCCTTTATATCCAGTCACTTTAGATCGAATTGAAAGCTGAATAAAGTTTATGGAATTAAAACCAATAATGGCTATCTATTTAACTCATTAACTCCGGAACTTCCACCCCAGGCAAACACCATTTATTTAAGTTAGCCCTCCGCATCTAAGTCACACATTGCTAAGCTTAATACGGATTGCACACATACAAGAATCAAACTCACGCACACAGTGAGACCTTAGAGCTGCACTCTTTAGTGCAATGTGTTATAGTTCGGCCGCTTAGAAAGCGACCTCCTCTAGCATTGTTTAGCATTAGTGTGCAGGTCACTTTCTAAGCAGTCGAACTATAGTAAACTCAGCTACCATGTGATCGTCAGGCGATCAGGACGAGTGGACTAAAGACTGAATGCAATACTAGCGCTCATAGGTGAGATTTAACGACTACGCCAGTGGGTCCATATTCCGTGATGAGCTACATCCGTAACCAGGGTTGTCATCTTTGGTTAGGGAAAAATCGGGATGTCTCTACCCCGGGATTAACACGGACAAAAGGGACTGAAGTCGGGACTGTCCTGACAGAATCAACAAGGGTGGCAACCCTGCCCGTAACAGGGTTAAACTTTCAATAACAATATCAACACAGGTTATTTGTAAATTAAGTTTCCCAATAAGTCGTAGCAAATCGCAGCCAAGCGTATCAGTTTAATTATGACTTCAGTAGGCCTAAGGTTTTCTTTACTTCCTCGACTAATATTCTAGCCGTTCCCCACCCTTATGTGACGATTACACTTTTCTTGCGACAATTTAGTCAGTTAGTGACAAAGATGCTAAGGAAAACAAAGGATCCCACTAAATGAATCACGTTCTATGAAAATGTTTCGGTGTGAAGAGGACCAACCACCATCAGAAACCAACTGGAAAAGTCCTTAGATTCTGAATTCTGATGGTTCATTCTACCTACTTCTGCACTTTGGTCAGATATCAAGCAGCTAATTTAACCTTGAAAAGAATCTTATGAAAACCGTTAATAAAAGCACTCCATTGTACCAGAAATTCCCTAGAGGAATACAACAAAGAATAAAACACACTGTAATTTCATACGTTGTATTAAAATTGTTAACAAAAATTCCATATCACAGTAAATGCTTATCGACCAGTTTCTAAAAACCGTTCCAACAGCCAATGTTTCTTGTATTGCATCAATTTGTGTTCTGGAAAACAAATAATTTGCGACCTGTCTAACTCCACAACACCTTACATCACATTGTTTGACACACCTATAAAAAGGGTGACAATGAAGAAAAGCGGGCAAAGATTGATCTTTTTGTGGAATGTCACTGAGCTTAGATGCATTGAATGATCTCAAAAACTATTTTTTGTAAATTTTACATTGATGTAGGTACCTTATTAAGGAACTTTAAAAACAAAATGTATAAATACTTCACAATAATGACTAATAAGTCAAAAGGTTATTAATTAAAGTCAGACAGATATAAACGCATAATTCAAAGTCTCTAAATGTGATAAAATAATAAAATAGGATAATTGTTGTTTCCCAAACAGGTCAGACACATTAAAAAGTTTTAAAAGAAACATCACCAGTTTACAGATTTCATTAAACCTCGTCCTGCTCAGTAAACACCCAGAGTTAAAGCTACTATTAAGATTGGTGACTACAAATTATTCTTGAAAAACTACAAATACAAGATAGGCACTATGATTTCTTACTCTACAGTTAAAGGCACAAAAAAGTTATATGGAAAAGAGCAAAGGCCGCATCACAATATATTCCCCGAGAACTCATAATAATGTCAACTCGCACAAGCATCATACTGCTTTTTCACAACCTCTACACTTTACACAGCCACAAACTCCAACTTGAAAAAAATAAAAAAATAAACTACATGAGCAAATAACACACCTGAATCTGTATAGCGTCCACTGTATACCGGTACCCTTCAACAGCTGACAGAAATGAACTCTGATAACTATTAATATACTGACCTATATTGTAAACAAATAATTTAATGAAGGAATCTAGTAATACTACATGTAGGTAGATGGAAGGTATATTCTAAGTTACAAATTACTTAAGTAAGATCTCTGTAGGCAGAATTGTTCAAAACTCTATCAAAGCATGTTCTTTTCGACACTTACACTAAATAAAGAAAAACCTATTTGTTCTTCTACGAGTGATTGATATGTGTTCCTAAAACTAATATAACGTAAGGGATAATAGGTACTTAACGAAGATCTATTGTGGAAATTTGCACAACTGGGTGTTTACAAAACCTTTAAAATTATTCTTAAATGAAAAATATAATTCAACATACACTACAAATACATACGTGGCGGTCAAATTATTTTCTACAACAATAAAGTTGTTCGTAAATACCACAAAATACTTAAGTGTCTAGAGCAGTTTCAACACGTAACATAATACTTTGAAAAATAGAAAAACAGATTTACATTATTCCCTAGCTCATGTGATGAACATAAAAATATAGCTGAAAATATTCAAACTATAAAATTAAAAAATCTACGTTTGTAAACACCCTGAGCAATCGCCAAATCTGAATATCAAATCTAAAGCGAAAGCGGATAATAAATACAATTTCGGCCCAAATATTGGGCGCTTCCCGTCTCAGCGAATCGAGGAAACCGTCGGTTATCGCTACAACGCTACGTTCCATCATGACGCAAAGTCGTACGCACATCCGTGGTTCATACGGTACTCTATGTACTTGATGCCAGTGTTGTGCCAATAGTACAGTGCTACCACTACGAAGAAGTGCCACCACTGATGAGACGAACCTATGTAGTCCACCTTACCTGAAACACAAACGGACCATTCAGTAATAATAGAATATATTTGGTTAAGAGAAAGATGTATGGAGTAGAAGAAAACATTTTGAGTACATTGAGAGTACTTATACTACATAGTACTTAAACTACATCTTAAGAGTTACACTAGAGTGACACTTATTGGATAAAAGTTGGTTGATTTCTGTTGATTCAATTAATGTTATTTACTACCATTTGGCAAGTCAGTAAGCGTGTAAGTTCCATAGATCATCGTTCAAAAACATCGAACACTCATAAACATTTCCAGCGATCATGTATGTGTCCATGATGATTTTCCACAATCGCAGTCACATTCGAGGCAACACCTGCGATCAGCTGACTACGCCTGAACCATGGATGGATAAGCATAATCTATATAAATAAAATTAGAGTTTTGTAATATCATAAAAACAATAGGATGAAATGTTGCATATACTAACTGACTAATATAACCCAATACAGATACAAATTGTCTTCATGTGATTTATCCGGATGATAAAATCTATACGTTTACATTTGACTATTGATAGAACCAGACAATCCATCCCCATGTCGAAGTTTTCGCCCAAGTCAAAATGGACTTAGTTAAAGTGAGTCACAAACAGAGTTTGTTGACATAAATTACTGATTTGTGGCTAATATTCACATATTTTGACAAAGTCAAAGGCTGTAGCATATTGGCACAATCTGTGTCTGGTTCACAGAACTGTTTTTTTTTTTTTTTTTATTGGGCGATAGTTACATATTGGATGTCTATTTCTGGATCCAAAAGTCAATGGTTCAAGTAAACTTGTAAATATTTAACTATATATTACCTAATGCAGGCTATAAGAAATAACTGCTTTCAGTTTAATTAATCATACAGCGGTGTATTAATACACCACTAGGATTATAGTACAAATCCTACAGTAATGTTTTTATAATCAATTCAACACGTTCAACTGAAAATATACAACTAATTTCGGTGACTAAAAAACCTAAAATAACTAACCGTCGCATTAATCACCATTTTATTATCGCGCAAATACTACCAATTATAAGTAAATTAGCATATTTTCGGCAGTTTTTAATCCAGGGTCGAATAGAAAACCAATAAATGAAACTAACCCGGTGCTAAATTAATGTAGAGATTTAAATGACATCAGTTAGTTAATCTGCATGCAATGGTAATCATAGGAATTTGGCCGATTGATAGAATAAGCTGACCAAGAAGGGATGAATGTGTGATTGAAAACTTTTACAAACTAGGCTTCATGTAATGCCCTTTATCAGGTGGAATTACCCACTGTAATGGCAATCCAGTACGGTTATTAAATGGAAAATACCTCTGCAATTCAACAGTAATCTAAGAAATCCCCATAGCTTTTTTAAAACTGTTATAGTTATATTTTAATTTATTTCAAAAATATTTTGGATATTTTGTACCTTTCCTACCTTTCCCAAAAAAACTCCTGTCTTTGTCACCTAAAAAATTTAAGCAGATCCAAAATCAGGACAATTTCTGTGTTTTTAAAATACTAAATGAAACAAATGATCACCGCTTTACATCTATTATAAATATATTAACAGGTCATATAAAATATATTTAACATATTTACACATTAAAGACCAAAAAGTTGAAAATAATTTATAAATAAAAAACTTTTTTAAAACAAAAAGTTTTTAAATGCACTAAAAAGTAAAAAATAATTTATAAATACAGTATGTGGAGAGTATAAATACTTGTAAGATTTAAAACGAAAAACGTGGGGTGCATGCAATAGATAATTTACAATTATCTTCACCTATTGAACTAATGTATTATTATCAATTGCATGCACCCCACGTTTTTCGTTTTAAATCTTACAAGTATTTATACTCTCCACATATTTATAAATTATTTTTCACTTTTTAGTGCATTTAAAAACGTTTTGTTTTAAAAAAGATTTTTATTTATAAATTATTTTCTACTTTTTAGTTTTTAATGTGTGTGGATGTTAAATCTATTTCATGCATCTATATCAGATTAAGACAGATGCATGTGGGAAATCTAAGGTTTATTTGAGTTTCTTTTCATATAATTATGTATTTGAATGTATGGCCTACCTACTAACTATAAATACATCAATCTATTTAATTTATTGTTTACTTTATAGAATACTAAATAAATAACAAATGACATTATTAACAAACACCTTTATTATCTGCAATCAGATTGTTTATCTTTATTTTGAAATGTTTGTTTGTATAAAGAATCTCTTGGTAGCAGAACCTGTACCTCTTAACCTCTTAACTCTCTTTTTGAACTGTCAAATTTAAGTATTTACAGCTGACTTTAATTAATTGATATGTTTACATTCTTTCAAAATGTAAACATGGAAAATTTGAAAGCCAGTGGGGCATAGCCCAAGGGAAATATGAAAATTAAATGCTATAATATTGCATTGTCATCCACTTGTGAGCTATGTTTCAAATTTCAAGTCTCTAGCTCATCGGGAACTTAGTTTAAAATTGATATCAAAATTTGTAGGAAAGTGAGCTAATAAAAACAAGCCCATGGGGCGTAGCCCAAGGGAAATATGAAAATTAAATGATATAATATTGTATTGTTATTAATTTGTAAGCTATGTTTCAAGTTTCAAGTCTCTAGCTCATCGGGAAGTATCAAAATTTTCAAGAAAGCGAGTAAATAAAAACAAGTCCGTAGGGCGTAGCCCAAGGGAAATATGAAAATTAAATCATACAATATTGCATTGTCTTCCATTTGTGAGCTATGTTTCAAGTTTCAAGTCTCTAGCTCATCGGGAAGTTAGTATAAAATTGATTGCAAAATATGTACCGGACAAGAAAGCGAGCTAATAAAAACGTTTTAATAAAATAGCTGCAATTTTTTGTATGACCTCGCAGGGGGGGGATGTAACTGTTAGGCCTATACCTTATTGAGTTATATTCATTGCTGGTTCATTGTGCAATATCTGGCTTGTTCCATATTTTTACTGACGTATCGTATAGGGGAAAGCTTTTATCTGAATATTTTATCTCAAGTACTGTATTCTTTTCGTCAGGCTGTCAAATCAAATCAAATCAAATCATATTATTTAGCTAAAATTAACAATACATATTGCATTAGCTAAGTCATGGTACAAATGTACATTATTAAAATTATAAAGTTTTCCTTATAAAACTATTTACAGTAAGGTATTTACAATCTGTAAATAATTTATGTAAGGTATTTTATCTGTGTATTGTTTGTATTTTTCATCACATGTAAAGAGGAAGCCTAATAATCAGATAAATCCAAACAGAAATACTAGCTAAGTGTAAACTCTGTGTGAGAAAGAACAAAATGTGCGACTTTGCAGAGGTCCTTTTCCCCCTCCTAAAGTCCATGTCACGAATCCCCTCAAACTTTTATCTTTACCCATGCTAACCCCCCCAGTTAGAATTCAGGTACCCCAAAGATTTTGCCTGTGTAAATAAATGATTTTTCATTTCATTTCATTTTTTCAGATTTTCAAAATTATGCAGCAAAACTGTGGGATTTTAAACTTTGGAAGAACTTGTAACCTATTTTAAGTGGAAAATGTTTCTGTGACAAATGCTAACTAGATGAAAACAACTAACTATTGGTGGGTTAAAAAAAATTTGTCTAGCTATAAAGTGAACTCTTTATAAAAATGTATGGGATCCTTTTAATTTTGTGAAACATACTAGGCCTATTAAAAAGAAAAATGGGAGAGTAGCAGACTTTTTAGTCAAGTTTAGGATGTGATAGATCGAGTATCGAGTTAAGCTGAGTAGCAATTTAAATCATTGTTGGTCTATTTATTCAAATAAGTCAAATTTTCTACCTTTTTTATGTTATTACTAATAAAAGTAAACAACAACTTGTGATTCTTCTACAGTGGGAATAAATTGAACTTTATAACAGTAGTGTCATTTGGTGTCTGGATTATTCTTAGAATTTGTAAATTAAGTTTACCTTTAAATAATTGTTTAAAAACTTTTTAGTTTTATAATCATTATAATTTTATTTTTATTTTATTTTACATTTTGGCTATCCAATTACCACTTTTTTTGTAGACAATTTATTGTGAACAAAATGGTGTAAGAATTATTAATTTATTACTTAAGGTTTTCTTTCTATAACAATTATTGAAGTAAAAGTCTACAAATTTGGTAAAATTAATTGCCGACAGAGGGCACTGCAGACAGAGCATTAATTCCTTCCTTCCCCAATGGGTTAAAGGCATCAAAGACACTATTAGTAGAATAAACTGTTTCATTCACGAACTTAATGAGAAAACTAAAGTAAAGTAAACAATAAACATGTACAAGTCGAGCCTGGAAAATTACATTCCAAAAGACATTTCTGGCCATTGCAATAAACAATATATTTGTATACTACACGATTAGTTTCAGCTAACTTAGTCACAGACAATAATTTCATATGTTACGAACGACTTAATTTTCTAAGGCCGTCAGTTGTCATTTCTTTTCAATTTAAAAATTATTCTCTTCATTTTTATCAGTTTTAAGTTTGTTTATTATTTAGCACAACATATTAAAATCAGTAAAGGATCAACTAGGTACAGTGAAAGAGCTTGAACTCTCATCATTACAAGAGCACCCCTAACTCCCAAACTATTGAATAAACAAATTAAAAAAAAAACTGTTTAATGGATAAATTGAATATTAAATGTCACTTAGAGGGATCACTGTACCTTCTTGACAAGAATAATTAAACATTATAATTTTGTACATTGTAATAAAATCAATCCTAGTCCCAAACAGGATGACAGTGTTCACGAACTGACGAAATAAAACTACATTTTTAAGTCGGTTTAACGACTGAGACTCGACTTTCTTCCAAACCCTCGAGGTAAACAAATCTTAGGTAAATATCAGAGCGGAGAGGCTAGCGTATCGCTGCAGGTACCAAGTACGCTCCACTATGTTTTGGTGCCCCTACGTACGTATATTATTTAAAAACCGCTCAACTACTCTCTCCGCTAACAAAGAAAAATAATGAACAGAGGATACATTCAATGAAAGTGGTGTCTAGCACCAGTCGCTGGTGTTGAGAGCGAATTCTATTCGTCGTCCCCTTCCCCTCTCCATCACATATTACAGCGCTCAAGCGGTAGGAAGGCCCTGTACGCTACAACTGTTGTACAAATATGCTATGCGGTGATCGCCGTTCGGGCTCTTCTTTTCTGAATACTAGTACATTTCCTTCCCAGCATACTGGAGCTATAGGCCCACGGTTGTCCATTAAGCTGTATCCTCTGTATTGTTTAACGTCCACACTAGTGAGTAGGCCTACTACGACTATCCGCAGTACTATCCTGGTAATTATACCAATTCGTTAATACCAAGGCAAAAATGTGGTTCGTATTCCACTATAAACTGTAGGTTCCCCAGTTGGCATTAGCTGTATGGGCTATTAATTAACAGCTGTGTCCAAGGAATATGTCGGCCTTAGTCACTAACAAGACTAAAGGATCACGCCACTCCTCCTACACTCATCTTCATTCATACTTGGCTTAAAATACCTAAACTATGTATGGTCGCCATTTCAATGAAAATATTTAAGTATAAAAAAAGTATCTTCCTCAGCCAAGGCAATGGCACAGCGTGAGTGTGAAAGGTAAAATCTTTACGCGAACCCTGGAAGGCCAACCCAAATCTCTGTACTGAGGCCTATCCAGAAACTAAGCGCTGCATAGCGGGTGGTACTTGAATTTGGCATATAAACCGATGTCTTATGTTACAGTGTGGAAAAGTACTTTACAACTTCTCTGTGCTACTAAACTCCAGCCTCGTTGTTCCACACTTTTCTCCCCTAGTCTGTTGGTGATTTTAACAAGAGATGTAGGCCTATTGTTCTGGTTCCAATCATACAAATATGATTATTAACTCAGTCCTGATACAACAGTATTGATTACTCAGAGTAACAGCATTGAATACAGAAAATGATTGTGTAAACTGTTGTTAGGGTTAGGGTTAAGGGGGGGGGAAGCTGGGTTTTCGTAGGTGCGGACGCAGAGTGCGGAGAAGTGATTTCGGTCTGTTCCGCTTCTAGGAAAACAGTACATTAAATTGTCTAAGACAAGAGGAGATAGGACTAAGCTCTCCACTTTCCGTGACTAGTAAAACACAGATTTACCATTACCAAAGTACAAACCTCACTTCAAACTGTACACAGCACCATGGATTAAACATCCCTCCATGTATTTATCATGCCATATAAATCAGGGTAAAAACAATTTAAGGTTCGTTGTTGCCTGGTATGTGTAGACTGCATTAAAAAAAAACTGTAAAACGTCAATGGTCATATAGCACAAGTAATCAGTAGTTAACCTATTGCTGAGTCAATTGGTAACATGTATAGACCTACACTGTGAAATAAATGGTCTACGTGTTTGAGCTATGTGCAAAGAAACGTTGGCTAAAACACAATGAAGTATAAACAAATGGTAAACAAACACTCGCACAATGAATATATTTATAATAACATAAATAACACTTAAAAACCATCCATATTACGCTGTACTTTGATAGGATCAACACCACCATTTTACCACTCAAAATGTTTGCTGCGGCTGCGTGATAGCCGGCCACTGCTGGAAGCGCGGACAGTTAATGTGCTGCGTGGATGACTGGATGTTTGAATTTAGTTTTATCATTGGAAAAAACTGGAAAACAAGGGAGGAGATATTATGGTATGTATTACGTCCCAGTCGTAGTGGACGTAGTTGTGCAAGAACCCAATAGATAACAGCACTAAACAAAACTGCAAGCCGGCCCTCAGTATTGCCAAATAAAGGGAAAAAGCAGGGGCAAAGCACTCGGACACACCATAAAAAATACCCCAAGAAAGGGGTCAAGCACATTTTTGAGGTTAGGTTCCTTCCACAATGCTACAGTATATCCATTATCGTTATTCTATTCCATGTCATTAAATCCATGCCTAAACCTAAAACTACAATAAATTTGTAACAGTCCCTAACACTGATAAAATAGTCGGATCTAAAAACAAATTTTACCAGATTGAAGTGTAAAAGCCTAAACCTCACCATAACCTTCTAAACCTTACCACAATACGTGGCAAGCAAATGAACGTCTCACGGCCGTGGCTAACCTTACAATGGAACAATAGTTAATAAATGGCACTTTCACAAGTATACTCGTCGCACGGTACTGGAAGTCATGCGCAGTGAACGTGTTAATGCTTAACATCGAGACTGACATAACCCTAAAACTATTAAACTAGTGTTACTGGTAGTTAATGGATGACGACTAAACCAACAGACAATTTTTTTACGATTGTTTGCTGTTACGTTAATTTGGCACAAGGAGCGCAAGCATCAGTTTGCTGGAGAACATGAAAGATAAAATAATTTGTTTGTATGCCGTTAACGAGTAAACATCGCATCTACGCCACTACGCAACCTGCACGCCGATCGTCAATTTCGCCTCTGGAACACAGGACTTACCAGTAAAGAACCTCTCTGGTATCCTTGTGATGTAGATGAAGAAAGCTAATCCGATAATGCCATACATCATGACCACCCTGGGCAGCAACAGCTGTAACAAACATACAGGTCAGTGGATTAACCTCATGAATTCTGGCTTTTGCACAATCATTTGTAAGCCCTATGCCTTACAAATGTTAAGGCAGACCATTGAAAAAATAGCTCACTAACAAAATATAAAGTGTCGTAAATATACTAATATCCATAGACCTACTTTTTATGTTCAGAAAACATTCTAGAATCTAACAATAGCACCCACGTATTATATTTTAAGATCAATTTAATTACTAAGTAGATAATAAGATAAACAATTTTTGTACATACAGTAGACTCCCTCTCATCTGGACTCCTCGGGACCGAGGCCAGTCCGGATAACGGTTTTTCTGATTAAACCGAAATCTCCAAAAACTCGTTAAAACGGACTGTTTAAATGCATACTGTACACAGTATTTAACCTAAATTTAGGAGAGCATTGACTTTAGACACGTGATCACTGGTCTCAAATCTTTCTCACGAGAACAGTCGTTTCAGTACTGCTCACTTCCTGCCAATCTAGTCCGGTTAAACTGATGTGCTGATTAAAATTGTCCGGTTAAAGAGATGTTATTTCCACCTAGTGTGGACCGGTTAATCCGATGTCCGGTTAAAAGGTGTGACTATTTTGTGTATCTATAGCCACTAGATTCTTTTTTTCCAAATAAGCTAGCTGAACTTAACCCTTTAACAGTAAAACTATTATTTCTCTGGAACTAAAGTTATGATGGATCGGCCATTTTGCGCCATTCGGCGTTTTGTGACCAATGTCACAACAGAAACGGCCTTGATTGGCCATAAAATGACCGACAGTTAGATTTTAGTATATTAAAGTGCGCCGAGTATGTAGGACTGTGCAACTTACAGCGACGATGGGGTTTTCCAGTCCTCCCATCATGACGGTCCAGTGAGCCGTGGGTACGATCCCGTACGCGGCCCACAACACGAACATGAGCATCTTGACGTTGTCATCCACCTTGAGCCACGGGAGCTGCAGCAGCATGGCAATCACAAAGAAGGCGCAAACCGTCGTCAGGTAGAATGTCTGCCACGTCTGTACAATCATACATAGAGCAAATAAAATAAAGTCTTAATTGGCACTCAGCATTACAATAAAGCAATAGACAAGGTCAACAATAAACAATAGGTTAGTCAGTAACCACAGTCAAAACAAACATGTTGACTTAGTAGCTAGAGTTTGAAAGCAAGTAGTCCATACTTTTTCAATTGGAATGCCTAGACAGTCAAAATAATCTTGAGTGTTGAAAAATGGATTTTCAAGCAACAGTTAAACAATTTGACTTTAAATTCTGGTAAAACCTAAATCAGAAGTATGAAACTGTTGCATTTTAGCAACAGTTTTATACTTGCTGAGGAATGGTTCACATTACATTTACTTAGTCTATGCTGAGGCATTTTAAGCAATGAGTTGTGTCTTTTGGAATAAGAATGCAAATCCTTCTTTACAGTACAATATCACTAGGCTAATCCCTTTCTTTAAAGACTGGGACTATGGTCAGGACATTGAAAAGGTTGTATTATCCGAGGATCATATTAGATTACCAAATAAATTGCTTAACTGACATTTTATTGACCATCGAAGACGATGATAATGTACCCATGTCCGTGGGAGACGTTCAATATTTTGCCAAAATCGCAAGGAATGAAGATAAATGTTTCAGTGTTCGTGAACGTTGCCGTGATTGCGGGAGACAGTAATAACCTCCATACAACCAAGGCAGATAGTATTGATAATACCACAATAGCATTGTCAACCATTGACGATGGCACAGTCGGATTAATCGAGGAATCGGACTGGCTGAGGTCGGATTAGCGAGGTTATACTGCACTACTAAATTGCAAATTAGATTTTACATTTGCTTAACATATATACAACACAGATAGGTTTATAACCTTCAACTTCCTAGAACTACAAAAGCCAGCAAAAAGCTTTAAGATGATTTACTAACCATAAGTATGTCTTTTTCTTTGAATTAACAAGACATCCTTAATAATAATTCTCTTCTCTTAACACATAGACCACACAAGGCACGAGCCCCGTGAAACTAGTAGAAATAAAAAAGACAAAGATAGATATTGACCTACCTTGTTGCACCAATAAGCGTAGTACACTCCAGTCATGTAGATACCTAACATGCTGAGAGCTATCCCCAGAAGGTCAAACGACAAGAAGTAGTTGAACGTGTGCTCCGACCGACAGGAGAATATGTGATACAGCGACGACATCACCATACACACCTGTAAAACACCAGATAGTACAACATACACTATCAACATCTGAAAACACCAGAACCTACAAACTTGCTAAACCTATAAATACACCAGTAAAAAAAACAGATGACAAGCATATCTCTAAAACCCACAGATGTTACAACTTATGCCATAACGGTACATGTGCCATACCTCATAGGTTATTACAATGCCCGTAAAGAGTAATCGTTTTACATGTCTCGGCAAGATGCCATTGTCAAACACTTCAGTCCAAGGAATACATTAAATCCTCTGGATTAGGCCTAGCTTCATTGATTGTTAAAATACTGACACACATTCAACATACGAATACGGCACAGAAATGATCACTTTTGTAAAAAGATAGGCCTATCACATAAGGAACCCCAGAGTCATTAAAAAAGTCAGTCTACGACTACAAGAACTTACCTGGAAGCACGCAAGCAGCATGCCGACGATAAACTTGTCCGTGAAGGAGGCGTGAATGTTGAGAAGAAACAGGTCGTAGAGGGTGAGTCCCAGAAACAACATCCATCCGAACACATGACTCCAGATGTTGATTGTCTCATTGGTCATCCAAAACATGCTGGGACAAAACATACATTATTATTGGGTGCAATATATTAGAGTAGGCTTAAGGCCTTTTAACACTGGCGTACTAGACGTCCCAAACGCCCAGTACGTGGCTCTTCCACAACGTACCAAACGTCCATTTGTTCACTCGGAGTCAGAAGAGCACAACACCCTTCACTTAGTGTATTTGTTTTATCTGTGCAAATATGTCTTACCATGTTATGGAGAGTACCATTACTCGACTCGAATGCATGATCTGGAGCTGGATGAAGATAGATTTAGAACTTTTTTATTTAAATTATTTTAGACCAGTTTGAAGAAGCATTGTCAATGAGCGATGTCGATATCAGAAAACTTGACACTATAACTATAGAGAGAATAGAGAAAACTATAGAGTAGACTTCTTTTTTCAAATGAAAGTCACTCGGAGCAAGTTATGGATTGTAGGGTGGGCCTAGTTCCCATTTTGACGTCTGGACTGTCACTAATGACGTGAATCTGCCTGTACTAGAAATTGTGTGATCAGCGTGTGTCTATCAGTGTCAGACGGGGACGTTCCTTACATTCTGAAGAGCCCTCGATTAATCACAAGGTGCTATAACACTTGGTTAAGCATCAAGTGTTGGGAAAACTAAGTAAGTATATTTTATCAACTTAAATACCTTTAAAAAAAGTACCTACGGTAGGGAAAATTTTAAAGAATAGTCTCTAATCAATGTAGTTGGTTTTGTTTAGGCAAATACATTTAGGCCTAAATAATTAACTTACTGATCCTTGTTTAACAGGAAATAGTGCAGATGGAAACTGAGCTGTTGATAAACTAAATTATACAATGGTAAAATCCTTTAAGTAGCCTAATTTGTTCAAGAATTAATTGTCACTGTAAGTAGTAGGTTTATTAAGTTTAACTTTAAATGACAAGAATGACTGGAGATAAACAATGACCAACTAAATATCAGTCAAATAAAAACACAAGCATAATGTCATGGCTAAATGAGTCAGCCTTCTTTTAGTTATTCACATATTTATTTAAGAAACATTGGGCTTACTCACCGATTACCTCATGAAGAAATACATGACTAATTTATGTAACAACTTCATGTTTCATATATATTTCAACATTATTCTTAATCGTTAAGCTTAAACACGAAAAGGTCTAAAGGAACAGAAAGTCAATACCCGTTTAGAATAGAAGGTTAAAGTTTTCAAGCAAATTCAAAATGAAGCCTCACCTCTCAAAACACATCTTTGTAGAGAGGTAGCCTCTGTAGCCTGTGAGAATGTAAGGATTGAACTGCAAGTACGAAGGTGCCTCATGATAGGTCAGTAGTGTCATACAGTCTAACGTGGTGGACAGCTTGCCTTCATCCTTGGAAATTAGCGAATCTGACGTTTCAGAGTTCTGTTCCTTGTCCTGAAACATAAAAATTGAATTTGTTACACTATATTAGACAAATCAATAAGACTACAAATTGCTTACTTTGGTCAGGACGATTCACTTGAAGAGGTACACTGTACCTAATTAAATGGATGATGCATAAGTTACATTGTATCATAAGCCAACTTGCTAATCTAGAGCAGAGCGTGTTTGTAGGTTTGAGCCAAAATATTATGAGGTTTCACCATTGACTACACCGAGTCAATGTATACTCTGTGTAGGCTAAAGTCAATGGTTTACCTGGTTTAAGAGGAAACGTATGCACACCTATGCAGTAGCACACTCAATAATAGTGCAGAGGTTGTATATAATTTGGGCTGATTAGTTACGTGGGCTTTGAATGCTGTGATCAAACATTACTACATTTGTCATTTCACTTTATAATAGCCTGTGATCAATCAAATTTTCCAATTCTGTTAGCAACTCAACCTTTTGCAAAGTAAAACATTTAGGGGTTTTTCGTAAAGTCATGAATTCTTTTATTAACTTTTTCTTACAAGTTGAATTAGCTGTGTCACGGTAGAAAAGTAGGATTTTAAAGGTTTTATATTCCTCAATGTTGTATGGCTGTAGCTCCTACAAACAACAAATTCATTAACTGAATGGCTCCGCCGTACAACGTTGTAACTTACAAAATCGAAATTTTACAGGAACAAAAAAAACTTTTTGTATGATATATTTATGGGCTTTTTAATATTTCTATTTAGACTAATCTAGGTTTTGTACCTGATTAATATATATTTATGTACATAACCTTGTTTGGGCACTTCACAAAAGAGTAATGACCTTTTTAACCTCAAAATCACACGGAACAACGTAGTAACTGACGTTAGTTACAACGTTGTTCTACGGACTCCGTAGTAACAGACGTCAGTTACAACGTTGTTCTACGGACAATTTATATTAAACATAAACAGGCTGAAGAAAAACACAACATCGTAGTTTCTTAAAAATATATTTTTACAGGATACATATTGTAAAAAAGGTGAATTGTTGGTTCTAAGATATAAAAGATATTATCAACAATATAAAAGATACATAAAGTTATAAAATATTGTAATAATATTACAATGTAATCTATATAAAAATCCTGGTAATAGAAAGCCAAAGTTTAGGTAAAGTATTCTAAAAGTGCAGATATAAGCCCTGGCTAAAAACACTTTTGAAATACTTAGGTATTTTGTTCGTTTTCAACTTTAATATTTTCATAAAACGGTACATACTCTTGAGGTATGTATTGACACATATCCAATAGGTCCTTTTTCTTGTCAGCCTTTATCGGCAATGGTCCTTCATACAACCGCGGGAAGTTCTCTATTCTTACAGGGGGATATATTCTCGTTTCCTTCTTGGATCTCTTCTTTGAAATCTTCTTTGTAGATGTAGATGCATCACAATTCTTCGTTGCAGATGTAGATGCAGTGTCTTTTGGTTCCTTGATAACCTTAGCCAAAATGTGGCTGTTCCACGGCTGAAGGACATTGTGGGATGTTCTGCCTCTCAGAGTAGTTGGATCGTCTGCAGTTATTTGATACCAAACATTGTTTGTGATGTTAAAATTTTTAGTTGACAAACTTTTTGTCGCAATATCAGTGTTTCTAAAATCCTCAGTTTTCATAACACAAACTTTGAAAGGATGCTTTGAGTTTGCGTTTGCTATTACCTCGACCCAGTGAAAAGGTACATACACTCTTTTGCCTTTTTTTGCCTTTTCAATGAGGGCAAAATCCCTATCGCATGGCAAAAAGCTGTGCCCCGTAGTCATAAACTTTTGTTCTACTACTGTGAAGTATCCATTTACTACGAGATGCTGCAGCACACTTATCATTCTCCAGTTATTATTTTGGCCAATGCAACGATCTGACCAAAGCTTTAGTGTGCGGGTTTGACCTGGTGTCATTTTCGGAACATGAAGCTCAACATACTTTAAAAGACATGATGCAATTTCCGCTGATCCACGTTTGCCTACCGTCTCGTTCCAGAAAAACATATATGCTTCATTGTTTCCCATGTTATGTATAGCTAGATTATAGCATGAAAGCTGGCGTTGGTAAAACACATTGTTATGTGTGAGATTGGGGCAAAATAATACCTGTTCGAGATCTACACAGAGTACTAAATCATTTGAGTTTACCTCTGCATCTAATTTGTCACGCTCCAGGGCTTTATAGGCCGCATCTGCTTTAAAATGATGTAGCTTACTTTCGGTCTCTATTATTTTTCTTTCATCTTCGGTTTTACAATCAATTAACTTAATAAAGAAGCGGTCACATGTGGCACACGTATCGGACCTGGGCAAACCAAATCTTAAGTTAAAATCAGCATTAAAAATATCTCGGTACAGGTGGAGTTTTACATTGGCTTCCGGGTGTGCAGTTCGAAAAAGTTCATACATTTTTGAAATGCTCAAATTGGGATCTAAACACTTGGACTGGCTGTCCCTGCGTGAATAATGATTTTCCTGACTAGGAAATGAACGGATATGATGTCTAATTAAATCTCTGATTTCTTCAGGGACCTTCTCATGTTTACCATGGGCCCCACGACAGTCATTCAAGGGCTTATTAAATTTGATTTTTTCAACAAGCATCTGGATTCTACGAGGAGTAATTTGAAAAATATGACAAATTCCTTTCTGACAAACACGAACGTTAGTGTCTCTTCTTGGAATATAGTATTCCACTGTACAGTGTCTCCTAGAAATATCCACACTCACCGTAGGGCGATGGATGTCTACTACCTTGATGCAAGCATTGGCGAGGAAGGCAGTTTGCTTATTGTAGTCCAATCCATAAAAATCTTTGAAGTGGCGTAGTATTTCTTCATGAGAAAGTTGCTTACAATGGAACTTGCAATGACACTGGACGATCTGTAAAAATTGAAATTGTGATAATTTGTCAGTCTTAAAAGGTTTTAGTGCACATTTTAATTTTACTTTAAGTTACTGTAGGCCTAATTACTTTAATTTTAATTTTACTTTAAATTTTTACTTTCACTTTTTACGTTTAAACATGTTCATTTTGTTTAACTTTTAGAACTACACAAACGATTTGAGTGAATGACATTTTTTATTCGACATGAAAAATTATATAAATCAAAAAAGATAAAACTAAACCAAGGGATCTTTTTGGTTATATATCCCTGATTTAATTTCGGTTTTGGGCTTTACGGGTGTTTGGTTACATAGGCTACATTACCCTTTTAATTTGTAAAAAAAAAAAATAGTCTTAGATCACAACCTAACGGTGGGAAAGCTTATAAATGGATTTAGAGTTACTGTACTGATATGCGTATTACCAGAAACCCCCAACTTAGGTATAGTATAAACTATGTCGGTTGCAATGTTTAATGGGCGTAGATACAGCGTTGTTCCGTGGTTTTAGATACAACGTTGTTCTGCTTACCGTTTGTGGTGGCAATTTTCCAGGCACTGGCTTCTTCCTCTTCGAAATATAGGGATTTCCACTATCCCTACATGCCTTGCGGTGCTTATCCTTCCACTCCTGTGGTCGAATCTTCCTTTTTTTCCCATTATTAAGCCGTTTTTGGTCCCCCGGTGACAGAACAAGGCTTCCGCCGGCAGACATGTTTGCAGGTTACAACGTTGTGCTGGCGCTTGAGGCCCGATTCCCGCCACTTTGATCAGCTGTGCAGGGCTGCCAACATCAGTTTTAGCGAGAAATAGATTTACCACACGGCACAGACTAACGAATACAACGTTGTTCTGCAGTTAAGCCAGTTTTGAAAATATTGTCAGTTACAACGTTGTACGGCGGAGCCATTCAACTTATTCAGACTCACTGAATTGAACAGCCTTTTCCATGGGTTGTTACATAAAGGTGTTTAAGTAATTGACGAATGTGTAATTATTTAGGCTAAAGCGATTAACAGGAAATTAGATTAATCTATATTGAGTCTGATTATATGTGTGTACTGTACTGTAATAGCAGAAAAGTGTTTTTTGTGTTTGTTCATCTAAATATTCAAATATTCATCCTGTAACTTGCACTCATGTCAGTTAATTTATTGTAAAAATGGTGTTTACCGAGTGAATAAATAAATATATAAATCTATATAAAATCTGTGCAGGTAGGCCTAATGTCTAAATAATTTAAGTTAAATTTACTTTAAGAATTCACAAAATTGAAAAAATCTATTGAGGATAAATTTAAGATACTGTAATAAACATTAAAACTTAACTAGGGACAGACTTATCATAGGTCAGTGGTCGTAGTTTGAAGATTAAATAAAAAACAAAGATACAATAAATCCTAAAAACATTAGTTTTTGCAACTAATATTTACTTTGTGTACAAATATTGGATTTCCATACAAAACCATACGAAATAACTTACATCGGATTCCTTGAGATTGTGTCGAAGTCTGATTTCAGAAGTTGTATCCATTGTAGACTACTGGTTGTTTTCTAGACGTGAATATTGTAATAATAACGTGGGTGTCAGAATAAATCACTGATAGGAATCACAAAGAAACTGTAAAACGTTCACAACTCCTAACCCTTCATGAGACGAACCTCCCTGCTTCAGGGTTAGGAGGCGAAGAAGGCTCAATGCCATTCAACAAAACAAGAAGACGAAGAGAAGACAGTGCTGCAGACAGAAGTTTTCCAGGACGCCATATTGGAGATACGAATCGATAGCCGGTGTTTTCGAAATATCGATGGTTACGTCATCGAGATATCGATGTTTTTCCCCAACTGAACAGTAATTAATTAGTAACAGTATTGTATGTATTTATATTTGAGAATGTTAATGTTGTTCTGATCTGAACGAGACATTTAATTTCGTAATTACTGACAACATTAAATATCGAATAAAATATTATCGGTGAACTAATAAAGGCTATTTTTTGCTCTTGCTTGGTTGAGGCAGAAAGCAGCGGACGAAAAGCAGAACGAAGTAACATCGGTTGTCGATGTTTTTGCGACGATGTTATCGGATGCACATCGATATAGTC